TATATACAGTGTATATATATATATATATATGTGTATATGTATGTGTATATATATATATATATATATATATATATATATATATATATTATATCTAAAATATTTCAGTTCTTATAATTACCAACCACTCAAATTTAACAACACTGAGACTGGCTAACACTGGTTATGAATATTCAAGTCATTATATGCCAACTCAGGTTAAAACAACCGGATAAATGAGGAAAAAAGAAAAATTCAAATACACACACCAATCACACTTTAAAAACATCAAGGTGAATAATATCATTTGTAACCATGATAAATTATTAATATCATTGTAATGATTATGAAAATAACGATGATGATAATGATGATGATTATGATAATAATACTATTTTGTCTGTTTCTCTGTGCACTTTTCTTTTAGTTGTCACTGTTGCAGGATAGGATGTGCTTCGCCCAATCAGATGACTGGCATTGTGGGCTACAGTAAATCTGTTTACGGCAAAGCGAACATTCAAATTGACCAACCAAACCACAGACGCATAGCTTAGCAATATCTGTTAAAATAAAAAAAAAAAGCGTAAAAATGTTACAAAACAGTCAACAAATTTCACAAAATTATTAGGCCCAAGCAAGAAATAAATTGAATTAGAATACAGGACATAACATAAGCATATGTAAAGTATATTAAATGCCTATAAGAGGTCAGCATTCAGTAAACACGAATATTAATGATTGGATTTACATTTTAACTTTTTAAACATTTTAACTTTCTCTAACTTAAAATTAAAATTGTTGTATTGTATTGATTTTTATTGTTTTTATTGTAATTAGTTTTATGGATCTAGTATATTCATAAAATGTTTATTCAAATTTTATTCTATCTTAAATTGAATTGTATTGCGCTTTGTCATTGTTTTATGTTTGAGGGCCCCCTTCAAGTCAGCGTTACTATTTCGACCTACCTTCTTGATCTATGGTTCAATAAATAAATAAATAAATCATCGATACGCTACAATTCATTTTTAAAACGTGTGTTTCCTGTGGTTGCGATTGAGAAATAATTAGAGCAAATTAACCCACAATAGCAGGTGTAAATGATGTCATGTCAGAAGTGACAAAAATGAAGTGCATATAACAGGTGGACAAGGAAAAGAGCAGAATGGACACACAGAGAAAGTAAAAAAAATAAGAGGAAGAGAGAAACAGAGGTGGAGAGACGATATGAATCATAAGGTATTGGTTTAAAGAAATAGACTGAAAAAGGTAGAAGAATTTAGAGGTGGGGGTAAGTTCAACAGTGTACAGGAACCTTGGAGTAAGTAAGTAATAAGTAAGTAATTAAGTAACTAAGTAAGCTTTACTTACTAAATAAGTAAAGTAAGTATATACGTTAGTAAGTAAGAACGTAAGTCTGTAAGTAATAAGTATTCGACAGTGTACTGAGCAACCCTGGAGTAAGTAAGAAGTAAGTAAGTAAGCTTTACCTAAGGAGTAAGTAAAGTAAGTAAGTATATTATACGTTATTAAGTAATTACGAAAGCAAGTATGTAGTATTCAACAGTGTACTGAGGAATCCTGGATTAAGATAGTAAGTAAGTAAATAAGTTAGTAAGTATATAAGTACATAAGTAAGAAGTAACCCACAAAAACTGAGCGCAGACTTATAAATCTAACAATCCATTGTAACATTCATTTGATTTGATTGGCTCGGTTATCATATTTTAATGTCATTCCTCATGCTCTGTACTTGTCTAAGAGTTGAACAGACAGTGTTGTATGAAGTTTTATGTAAAATTTAATGGCAACATGCTAAAAGGTAATATACAGGTATTGCACCGATCTAAATGGTAACTACGATAATGTCTGAAATGTTGTCATCTTGAATAATAATTAAAAAAAACAATCACATGTAAAATTATTGGATACTTTTTAGTCGGTTGGCATCCGTTACAACCCAATTACCTAATCGGAGTATAGACATAATTTTTTATCGTAATAATAATTAAACTAAAATATGTAATAATAACAATAGTACATAGTTCATAAAAATCTTGGTTTATTGCTTTTAAATTTGAATTGTTTATAATATCATGTCGATGGTATTCAATCCATTATTCATGATTTGATTTTCAACAGTTTTATGTTACTAAAGAATGAATGTAGAAGACTGGAAAAACTTCTTAAAATACAGAAAAGCTAAAGCTGATCATCATTAATAATAATAATAATTATTATTATTATTACAATAATAATAATAATAATAATAATAATAATAATAATAATAATAATAATACATTTTATGTTGCTATCAACTTTACCTACATTTATTCATTTATTGTATTTAATGATGCTCTTTACAAAATGGTTCACCTACTTCTAGTATCTATCCTTTTTGCATACTTAAATTGTGTAAATACAGTGTATTAAATCATCACAAATAGGCCCCTAATATTCTATGCCACTGATTTTCGATAATGACGATTCAATTTAAGGTAGGCCCAACTTATCATAAATTACAAAATTACGTCTCTGTGTTTAGCTGTTTTCCTAGGAGGAGGAGAATTAAAAGATACATTTTTCCGCACAAGTTTATCGTCAACTTCATTACGTTCAAAATAAACAAATGTATGTGGTTGCCTGAACGGGCTTTTAAGCAGGGAATTTCCTTTACCTGTGTCTTCCATGAAACGGAGTAGAACACTATCAGAGGCGTACGTCTCGTGTACAACCTGCCGCTTCTCGCTGGCTCCGTCGATATCCTTCAATGTTTCCGTGAGCAAAACAAACGGCTTCTCTTTGTTTGAGCCTGTGAGCATCACTTTAATTTCTTTCCGGAGGTCACTAAGAGTTCCAACAAGGTTGACTGCCATTTGTCCCAATTTTTCAAAGCTTCTGGTTGATGTTAGCTCCATGATGTACATGTTGGCGCGATCCTCTTTCACTGTTTATTGTAAAGTGAAAAATCAGATGTTGAAATTATAAGTAAACTTTAGCTTTACATTGAAAGTATCTATGTGTAAAGGTATAGCAAAGAAGAAACCAGTAAGGCCTACTAATTTATGGCTTTAAAGTGAGTTCGCTGATAGCCAAAAGGAAATTAATGTGCTTGTATGTAATTCCACAGAGAACAATATAACATTACTTTAAAGTGAGTTCGCTGATAACCAAAAGGAAATTAATGTGCTTGTATGTAATTCCACAGAGAACAATATAACATTACTTAATTTTGCTACGTTCACATAAGTTGTTTGAGCTTGGAGAGAATGTAAGTCTTCAATGTTTGTGTGTGGGTTAAGTGTGGTGATGTTCGAAACAGTATTTTTTGTATCAGTATATACTGATTGAGAAAGAAATACAAAGTTGGACGCTAGCCCAGACATGGCAGTATGATATAAATACACTCACCATGTTCTTCTGCTCCATCTGCGAAGCCTGGTGGTAAAGCTGTTGACACTAACTCTGGTGATCTGCATGGATGGTTGAAACCAGGCGACTTGCTACGGGTGGAAGATGTCTCGTCCTTCAATGGCCTAGTTTCTTCTGAATTAGAACTGAAAAATATACCAATAGTCATTTCAATAGAAACTACAAAAGTACAATATATATACGTTTAAGGAATGCAATGACAGTAAGGACATTCATTTTAGAAAAAGCAAAGTCAACTGATCTCCCAGTGACCCAAATAGCTAACTTTAAATAGCTAAAAAATAGTCTTCAGCTACATTTTGAGTATTTCATTACCAATGTCGTGAAGCCTTTGCACTCTCATGCGGCGGTCCGCAGGGCCCCCCAATTCTAGGGGCCCCGAAGGGGCCCTACCCATAAGTTTCTCGATCTAGCACCCAGACCAAAAAGGACTTTGTTGATAAATAGCACCATAATGTGTCTCTAAAATCTACTGTGGGGCATGCCATATTATAACGATTAAAGAGAGGGGGGCGTCAGCCCGACGGGGCCTCTCTCTCGGTCCGGGACCCCACCAAATTTGTCAAAAAAATTTAAAATGCAGATAAAAAGAAAATTATATTCACAATTTTAAGTCTGTGAGTGCCATTTGTGGCCATCTAGACGTGCCATAATAATTTCTTATCTCAGCTCCACAAGGGCAACAATATAATTTGTGTCTGAAATCGACTGTAGGACATATCATATTATATCCAGTAGCGGAATAAAGAGTGGTGGGGTGGGGGGAATCTGCCGGCCCGGGCCCCACTAAATTTGTCAAAATATTTTTTAACTGGAGATAAAAAGAAAATTATATTCACAATTTTATGTCCGTGAAGTGCCATTTTCGGCCATCTAAATGTGCCATAATTCATAGATTTTCTTACCTCAGCCCCAACCATGGTGGGTTTGAGGTGGTATAGACCCTCCAACTGTAAATGTCCCTCCATATTATATCATTTATTCGTCATTTAAAACATTTAGAATAATGCACATCTAAAATCCCACGATGGAATTGGTGACCGGTACCCAAAAACGGGCCGCAGTTCCCGAAATACACAGGGCCCCGGGCCCCATCGTTACGCCACTGTTCATTACCCATCGATATCAGGTGAATCTATCTTGAACACCGGGGTTTCCCTGCCACCATCAATGAAACTGGATGTTCTTGGAGCTTCCTCTTTCTCAGTCAGTCTCATCGTTTCTACTGCCGCAAGTTTATTGTCTGTAGCAAAAATGATACAAAGACCTTGATACATACTGTATGTTTTTGCTTTTCAATGTCAGAGACATGATTGTTGAATAAACGCCCTAAGAGTTAAAAACCAGGATGAGCTTGCATCAATAAACGTTGATATATGCATTCAAACCTCTCCATCCCTCATACTTAATAAATTATACTGTACTTTGAATATAAACCTCCCGCTTTAAAAAATAGCCATTTAGTTATTATACTCCCACTCTACAACAACGTCATTTAATAATATAATATCGGAGTATAACCATGCAACCTACTTGGATTGTAGAAATATTTGTAGATGACAAAGGTAATAATGAGTACCACCAAAATCAGAATAACAACCACAAGAATGATGGCCCACAATGGTACACCAGAACTTTCCTCAGCCTAGAAAACACAAAATAAAATAAAAAGGTATTAGACTGGTAATGGCTAATAGGTGCCTGCTCCAACAATGTACTTCAAAATATGTGTATGTATGCTGTCTCTTATACACATCTTCAACTGATCTCCCAGTGACCCAAATTGCTAACTTTA